TAGCAGTCATATTGCGTACTTGCTCACGTTGGTATTAATCGCCTGTGTTTCCGGTCTGTCTGAATGTACGTCTCATGTATCGCATTCGGTTTGTCGCACAGCCACACTCGGAGATCCCTCCATTGACACACCTATTGTAACTGATGTTTCTAACCACGTATGACCAACTACCTCTGTTGCAAACCCTTCGTCCATTGACATCCCCATCAGATACACCTTCACTGCTAAATATTCCGTTCTCCCATCGGTCTGTTCAGCTGTGTGATGCGTCCTTCTCCGATGTCTTCCCCCTCAAAAACACCTTCACTGCTAAATACCGCGTTCTCCCATCTGTCTGTTCAGCTGTGTGATGCGTCCTTCTCCGATGACTTCCCCCTCAAATACACCTTCACTGCTAAATGTCAAGTCTGCTTATCTGTCTGTTCAGCTGTGTCGTATGGCCATGCAACGTCACACAGTCGGTGATCCGGTGGAGCGGTTTCTGATGTACCAGAGTGCGCGCTACATTCACTTTGCACTGTTGGTAGTGTTGGACCTGGAGACCGTCATCCAGGACGACAACCAGCCAGAGTAAGTAGTTCCGAACTTCCGCTTGTACCGTGCCTACTGTAGAATGAGGATGAGCGCACACAGCCGGGAGTGACAGGCGGGTTGCTTAGACAATGTGGCTACGGACACACTTGATACGTTTTGTGGTGTCCGTGTGGGCTGTTACGTGATACATTTTTGTGCTACGCGCACCTTGCTCCACAGTTCTGTGCCGCCCAAACACGCTACACCATGTGGTGATAACCTCGTTTGTGCCGGTCCTTTTGCCCTGTCCTGTCCTATTTGTCTCAGGGTCATCCACACGTACTGCGTGTGTTGGCTATGCTTACAACGTGCCCTGTACTAAAAACCCCTCGTGTGTCGGTCCCTTTGCTCTGTCCTGTCCTCTGTGTCTCAGGGTCATTCACGCGTACTGCGCGTGTTGACTATACTCACAATGTGCCCTGTACTAGTAACCCCTCGTGTGCCGGTCCCTTTGCCCTGCCCTGTCCTGTGTGCCTCAGGGCCATGCACACGAACTGCGCGTGTTGGCTATGCTTACAATGTGCCCTGTACTATTAACTCCTCGTGTGCCGGTCCCTTTGCTCTGTCCTGTCCTATTTGTCTCAGGACCATGCACGCGTACTACGTGTGTTGGCTATACTTACAATGTGCACTGCCCTGTCCTGTGTATCTCAGGGTCATCCACACGTACTGTGTATGTTGGCTATGCTTACAATGTGCCCTGTACTAATAACCCTTCGTGCGTCGGCCCCTTTGCCCTGTCCTGTCCTGTGTATTTTAGGGTCATCCACGCGTACTGCGTGTCCCTGCGTGAGCGTATCGTGAGCCAACGCGCGAAATTCAACGAGCGCAACGGGTACAGCGAACCTCCGACCCTCGGCCTCAGGATTGTGGGCGTGGACTCTGATAGTAGAAAACACACCGCTGCAACACCGTCCACGGGGCCTACCACTCACACCCCGGCCAGTGCGGCGCTGGGCATGCGCAGCACTCATTTCACACAGCGACAGCCCAGTGCAGTGCAGTCGCTGTCTGAGGACGATCTCAATGTACGTCCCTCTGCGACAGCCACCACAACAGCCAGTGATAGGAGCGGGTAAGGGTGTCAGATGGTGTGCATGCTGTGAGGTGATTAGGGTGTGTGTCTGGTTGCTGTGCTTTCTTGTTCTTGTTCTTGTTTTTAATACAAGTGTGCATATGCAGGTGTGGTATGGGTTGTATAAGTGTGGTGTGGTTATGTGTGTGTCTAGTAGCTGTGTATTCTTGTCCTTGTTCTTGTTTTTGTTGTTGATACTAGTGTGCATATGCTGTTGTGATGCACGTATGACCAGTGTACAGGTGGTTGGGGTACCGGACTGTGTAGGTACACTAAGGGCTTCTCTGCATACGGTACCTATCCATACGACACGGTTCTGTGTGCATGCTTGTGCACCGTACTCCCATGGACCCTACGTGTGTACTCAGCTGTCTTCACGTGTGTGCGCCATCTATGTGGTGCTATACACATATTCACGCGAAGTAGCCTCATGTTGGATACGGATGTGTGTTGAGCTGAGCGCGTAGAGGTGTACCAACCACCTCTGAGGCTGTTCTGTGTGCCACGTGGGTGTCACGAGGCTGTCACGTACAACTGCACTGATGTGCCAGTAGCTGTGAGCAGTGCATGGGACAATATAACTGAATCATGGGACAATATAACTGAGTGCATGGGACAATATAACCGAATGCATGTGATAAATATATCTGTATAACGTTTGGTGTGAGCGTCACGAGCAGGTAAGCGTGATTTAACTGGCTATCGCTCGTTTAGGACAGTACCTTACGCAGGTTTGTCATGTGTCTTTCATTTGATATGTATTTATAGTCATACTTCTATCTTTCATTCGACCCCATCATTCAATGCACGTTTGCTTCTGATATTAAACCGTTTCTGTGGTATTGTATGGTTGATGTTTCTCATGGGTCGTCTGTACCACATTGTGTAGGTTTGGAATGACATCGAAACTCCGCAGAACGAATCTGAAGTACAAAAAGAAAAAGAGACCGCAACACCCCCCACAGGCCACGTCACTGACCGAAGGCGTTGGGACACAAGGCGGCAGCGGAGATGCCGTAGGCACAAGGTGGGTAGGCATTGGCGGTCGCGTGACTGTGTACTAGTTCTTGTAGCAGAGGGTGGTACGTGTGGTGCTAGTTTTTCCTATTGTACCGTGAGTAGTGGGTCGTATCTTGTCCCTGTGTATATGTGTGGGCTTTGCGGGTATAGCTTGCGGAGGGTCTACCAGCATGACTGCTGCTGTATTTGATTAATCTGTAAATAGATTCAGAAATGCTCTAAAAGGCAGGTACTACCCTGGCTCCCTTAAGTAGTATCAACCTCACAGAGAGAATACTGATATATAC